CTAAAACTTGAAACTAAAAATCTAAAAACATTATTAGATCAAGAAAAAAGAAAACAATCACAACACGAAATCTTAATCAAATTTCAAGAAAGAAACCTAAACTTTACTAAAAATCCTAAGCTATTTTACAAAAAAATCTTAAAAAGATACAATAATAATACTAATTTAGATCGACTTCTTTTTCATGATTCCTTACTAACAAATTCTGAAGATATCAAAGAAGCTACATGACAACACTTCCAAAATTACTTTCAACAACAACCACTTCTACCTATCCCTCCTGATTCAGACTTCCACAACCTATACAAATCACAATCTAAACTTGAAACTCATTATAACAATCTTCTAATAGAAATCTCTGATAATGAATAGTTTAAAACTACAAACTAACTATCCAACCAAAAAGCCTCAGGTCCTTCTGGCACCAACTATGAGCATATCAAACTAGCCTTACACCAAAGCCAAAAAATACTCAAATCTTTACTATCCAAATGTTAGTATTCAAAAAAATCTGGCTTAAACGGGCTTATAAGCTGTGTAATCTAAAATATGCAAGGGGTATGCAAGGGTGAATATGCATGCATAAATTATGCAAGGGGTGCATATGCATACATAATTATACAAGAGATGCATATTTATGCAGAGGATGCAAGGAGTGCATATGCATGCAGGGTATGCAGGGGGTGCATATGCATGCAGGGTATGCAGGGGTGCATATGCATGCAGGGTATGCAGGGGGTGCATATGCATGCAGGGTATGCAAGGGGTGCATATTTTATAAAAATTTTCTAAGTCTTTATATATATATAATATTATATTATATATATAAAGACTTAGAAAATTTTATAAAATATGCACCTCTTGCATACACCTGCATGCATATGCACCCCTTGCATAACTTCTCCACTAATATACACCCTTGCATACCCTGCATGCATATGCACCCCTTGCATAAATTTTTCACTAATATGCACTCCTTGTATACCTCTGCATCCATATGCACCCCTTGTATACCTTCTCCACTAATATGCACCCCTTGCATATCTTCTCTACTAATATGCACCCTTGCATACCCTGCATGCATATGCACCCCTTGCATAAATTTTTCACTAATATGCACTCCTTGCATACCCCTGCATCCATATGCACCCCTTGCATACCTTCTCCACTAATATGCACCTCTTGCATAACTTCTCCACTAATATACACTCTTGCATACCCCTGCATGCATATGTACCCCTTGCATAACTTTTTCACTAATATGCACTCCTTGCATACCTCTGCATCCATATGCACCCCTTGCATACCTTCTCCACTAATATGCACCCCTTGCATACCCCTGCGTACATATGCACCCTTGCATACCTTTCTACTAATATACACCCTCTTGCATACTCTGCATATATATGCACCCTTGCATACCCCCTGCATAAATATGCACCTCTTGCATACCCTCTGCATAAATATGCACTCCTTGCATACTCTCTGCATAAATATGCACCACTTGCATACCTCCTGCATAAATATGCACCCCTTGCATAATTATGTATGCATATGCACCCCTTGCATAATTTATGCATGCATATACACCCATTGCATACCCCTTGCATATTTTAGATTATACAGCTTATAAGCCCGTTTAAGCCAGATTTTTTTGAACACTACAAAAAATTTTAAAACGAGTTAATAATTAATTTTGCCGAATATTTTTTTTAAACCTTAATATTTATTTAAAAGTAAAGTTTAAAAAAAATCTTCAGCAATATTAATTATTAACTCGTTTTAAAATTTTTTGTCTAGAAATAACACTCTAAGCATTATTTCGAGACGATATAGTAATTGAAAAGGAGTATGTAAAATAGCATTGTTAGTTTTGAAATGCATATCTCAAAATAGTATATATATACATCATGTAACTTATCAGTGGGTTTATAATACGTATGTAACACTGATATCTCAAATTTACAGTATTTTAAAATTCGTATAAAAGGATATTGGCTTCTAATAAGTTTTTTTTTTAAATTTTGTAACTGAAATATAAAAGAATTAGAACTATTCTATTTAGCTATAACTAGAAAAAAGTATGGATTTAGTTGAAGAGATAAGTATAAATTTAGTTGAAGAAATGAGTACAGATTTAATTAGAGAGATGAATATGGAATTAATTGAAGAAAATACAAATCTAATTAGTAATGAAAATGAAAATGAAAATCTAGAAGTTATCTCTGATACCAATAAAAATAAAAGTGATAAACTTCTATCATGGGTTTTTGAAGAGAAGCATTTTAGAAAGGATGACAAACAGAGTAAGAATGCAAATAGGTTATACAAACTTAATAAATCGATTTTTGTAATATAAAAATTTTAAAAGTAACCCGATATCTGGCTTTTAATTTTATAAACTTTTTAAAAAACTTACTCGGATGATAAATATACTTAAAAATTTTTTTTTTTAAATTTTGTAAAATTCAATCCGGCTGGGTTTAAAAACCGATTTATTAAATTTGTATAGTCTAGGTTTAGTAGGAAATCCCGACATCCAAAATCTCGACAGGCCATAATACTAACGTCGCGTGATGTGACAATTAAAAATTTAAAGTCTAACAATGATTATTAATGTGATTATTAATCATTAATTAACAAATCATAATTAAAGGGTCAAAAATGATCGACATTTTATAATTGATAGTAACGGGTATTTAATAGTAAAATTTCTTAGTACTAGAAATGGTGAAAGCTTCTTTCATTAGCAATGTCAAAAAATAGTAAATATGCTGTATGGCTTGTAAATAAAGGGCAAATAAACCCAAATTTCCATTATGGACCATATGTTCAAGATTGGTGGCTCCAAAATTTTAAAATTTCAAATAACAGTAGATTAACTCTTCCTTTTCGTCTTAATATGAGTGTGATAACTCAAATAAACAGTCATGAATTTACTTTATTTATTGTTAACAAACCATCAAACCTCTTGCAACCCGGTTTTTTATGTTCTGTAAAAGAAAAAATTATTGATATATATGATACACCTTCAGAAGCTATCAACTCATTATATTGGGAATTATTTGAAACTCAAACTGAGCATTTGGGTTTAGCTGTCTTTGGGTTTTATAATGAAGAAATTGTATCAGAAATACTAACAGATATTTTATTTTTTCCATTATATATAAAGGTTAACAACAAAATTACTGTAGTAGTTTCAAGAATTAGTTACTCTTCACGGGAGGAACTTTTATATGCTGGATCTGGCTATACATCATCTTTAGTAATGTGTCGTGGTTCAGAAACTTACCTTATCCTACAGCAAGTTTTAGAAAATCACTGTAGTTTACGGGTCTTTAAGGGCAAAATCGAAATACATCAATATGTTGGTGAAACACCAACTGCTGTTTGGATAAAATATGGAATGCATCAGAACAAGGACCATTTTGCACTTTTTGGGCTAAAAGATCTGAATGTTCAAGCATT